TTAAAATGTGGATATTGATAATTGCTGTGTAATACACCCCTGCCCAGACAGGAGTAGGGTGTCCTTTTAACTGACTGAAGTTACATGCAATCTCCTTGCAGCACTTGGGTTGTGAAGGGGAAGGAGGGACTTCAAGGAAACTTCATAGAAATAGCAAAGCTTTCTTACTGCCTTATAAAACTGAGTGTCTCACAACTGCCCAGACTTGAGTATGGCGAATACCATTTTTTTAAATGTTTGGAATAGACTGGATAACTTTCTTTTTTACACAACTGCTCAAATAGTTGATGTGCTGACTAGTGTCCCTTTATGCTGCTTTTTTCTATACACACTTCAAAATCATAGCATGATTCTGGGATCCAAAGGTGATTACTGAAATAAAAGTTAATGTTTAAACTAACTGGAGCACAAAGTAACAAACGGGCAAACTCAAGTCATTTTAGTGCCAATGTTCCTAACTCCTCAAAACACTAGGACGACTCTGTAGCACAGCTCTCCTCCAGGCCCTTTGACTCAGTGAGCCCCATTAGTCGGCCATGAAAGAGGAGTCAGCAACTCCCTGTTCCGTGAGGGCCAGTTTGTGAGGTGCCTGCCTGCCTGGACCCTGTTAGGAGAAGGGAAGAGTTTCATTCAGCTTGGCTGCAGCAGTGTCATTATTTTGCACTGTTACCCTGCTGTATGTGTTCATGTGCCTATAAATAAAAAATTCATGTATGGAGAAGCTGTGAATTCCAACTTTTCACATAATTTGTTTCAGGTGTTTGGAGAAGAGGGTTTGAGCCTAAATGTGGAAGATATTCAGCCTCATGACTTTGGTAAAGTTGGAGAGGTCATTGTGACAAAAGATGACACCATGCTCCTAAAGGGGAAGGGTGAAAAGGCTCAAATTGAAAAACGTATTCAAGAAATTATCGAACAACTAGAAGTTACTACAAGTGAATATGAAAAAGAGAAACTGAATGAGCGGTTGGCCAAACTCTCTGATGGAGTAGCAGTGTTGAAGGTGAGAAGTTAAACTTCTTAGGAAAGGGGCTGTATCAGTCCTTTATTGCCAACCTAAGTTACTACTCTGTGGTTGTCTTGTCATCTTAGTGGTTGATTTGGATAAGGAATTTGGTTTCTTACAGTGCTACACTTTGGTATTAGGAACGTGATGAAATAATCAACTAAAACTGTGTGTTTAGGCTTCTTGAGTGCTAAGGTACAAAAGAACACTGCCAGTATGGGAGAGCAGGGGTTTGTTTTCTGGCACTTTCCAGTTAGTGACTCAAGTTGGCTGTTGAATTTTGTGGCGGCAGTTCTGTAGCCGGCAGCGCTCGCCCATGTGGGCTCCTTGTGGGTAGCTTGACACGTGGCTTGCTTGTTGTAGGTTGGTGGCACAAGTGACGTTGAGGTGAATGAGAAGAAAGACAGAGTTACTGACGCCCTGAACGCCACCCGCGCTGCTGTCGAGGAAGGCATCGTTCCAGGTGGTGGCTGTGCATTGCTTCGCTGCATTCCAGCATTAGATGCTTTAGTTCCAGCCAATGAAGATCAGAAAATCGGTAAGTAAATTACTTGAACGTGTGTGTGGAAGTGTTAAGAATAGACTTTCTTCTGTCCTGAGGCTTTATAAGATTACATGCAGATTGCTTTCAGTGAGTTTTTAGTTACTTAATCTTTAGAACCTGGTAGCCCCTTGGCATGGCGGTCTCTGCCATGCAGTGGAAGGGGCTCTCACTGCGTCCCCAACTTGGACATGAAAGGACCCATAACAATAAAGCAGCGGGTGCCCCCGCAGAGGATTGCAGACTATTAGGGAGAATTGAGTTGACTGTTGCAGCTGTTGCACAGACATAAAATCTAAGAATGCTTAAGAGATTTGAGTGGCAAATCAAATGGAAAAAGGCTTTGTGCCCTGTTACAGCAATAATACTCCTTACTACCTTTTGCAGAAGTAAAACTAAACACGTGTGAATATCCTGCAAAGATTTCATTTGTTGACAAATGGCAAGTAACAAAAAACTTTTTTTCCCTGGAGCTGATAAAAACAGCTTATGCTCTTGCTCAGAGGGTTCTTTCTTTTTGTACGGATCTCCAGCACGTGAGTGCATGCCTTGGCAGCGGGAGCAGCATACAGAATATGTGCTTCTAAACATCCTTTGTCTTACAGGCATCGAAATAATAAAGAGAACACTGAAAATCCCAGCAATGACTATTGCAAAGAATGCAGGGGTTGAAGGATCATTAATAGTTGAAAAAATCCTGCAAAGTCCATCAGAAGTTGGCTATGATGCAATGCTTGGGGATTTTGTAAATATGGTAGAAAAAGGAATCATAGACCCAACGAAGGTAACCTAAAATAGCCTTAATTCTCAGCTTTCCTTCCTCCCGCCACACGTGAGAGTCAGCAGGTATTGAGTTCCTTCTTCCCCGTTTTTAGGTTGTGAGAACGGCTCTGATGGACGCCGCAGGTGTTGCGTCTCTCTTGTCAACAGCAGAAGCAGTGGTGACTGAAATTCCTAAAGAAGAAAAGGAGCCAGCAATGGGAGGAATGGGTGGGATGGGTGGAGGAATGGGAGGTGGCATGTTCTGATTCCTGGGCTAGGGATGCATCATGAGCTGTGTTGTTTTAAGACTGACAGTTCTGACTTCAAAAACTTAGCTGTCAGTGCAAGAGGGTGGATAGTGACTGAAGTGAGGCTGGTGTTTAAAAGAATCACTGTAACCATCAGTTACTGGATTTCATTTAACACACGTGTAATTGTTTACAGTCATTGTCCATGCCTACAGATAATTTATTTTGTATTTTTTGAATAAAGACATTTGTACATTCCTGATAACTGGGTGCAAGATCCATCTACCGAGGTCCTGATTTAAATTTAATTAAGGCACTTGATATTCTGTTTCAGAATTTATTGGTGCTTGCCAGTACTAGGAAGAACTTGGAAGCCACTGTGCGTGAGACTAGACGATTGTGTACAAAGTAGGCAAATACACAGTTATGTGACCTTTATGTAATAAAACAAACTGCTCAAAAGTTACTAAATGTATCACCTTATTCATCTGCACACAAAGCCATAGTCATGGGAGAACCCTGACAGCCTGCTGCTGCTTCCAAGGTTTACTAGAAGTCTGACACTTAACGGCAGGGCCTCTCCCTCCAGGAAACATTCCTTTGTCTAGAGGGTTTCTCAGAAATACAAGTAACTTTAATTTTGGTAAGAAATACCTAAACTGAACTGGCACTACAGTTCTTGGATACATTAAACAATGCTATGCAAATAAGGCACGTGCACTGGCTTTATTTTGCTCTGTCTGTACTGCTCGTTGCGTCCGCTGGAACAGGCCCAGCACATCTCTCACACTACTGTGGGAGGGAAAGTGCCCTGCGGGCATGAAACAGGTAAGTTTTCTTTGGTAAGAGAGGATTGTGGGTTTTTTAAATACTTGGTTTTCTCAGGTGCCTTCTGGCCTTGAGCCTTCCAGTCTGGTCTTCCAGCCTTCTGGTAATGGGCTCCAGGGTTTAGTTTATTTTGCACTAGATGGTGCTTTACCCTTAAAAATTGCAGTTTACTTTGCCTCCTACTGTGTTCTTTGAGCTGACGCAGCTAGTAACATGGATTTGTAAAGTCTTTTCTGCTCTGCAAACTTCAAAACCATGGTGTTCCCAAACTTGGGTATGTTTATCTGATTGTCTCAACAAACACCATTGCTTTAGGACTTCTTGGTGCTGTAAAACTGACCTCAATCCAGCTGTCACTTTCCCCAGCTTCCTACCTTTAATAAGACCTGTCCTTCACAGATAGGATATGTGAAATTTCATGGTCTGAAACCGCTTCAGGGCTGGTTTTGTCCTGAAACATGCCTTCCTATGTTACCTAATACTGCTATTCTGTAGTAACCATGTGGAGAAAGGACCAGCTTCAACACCTGACCTGAAGCTTCACCTAATTTCAGTAAGGAAATTTGGTAAAACAAGGCAGCCTATAGACAGGATTTTAAATCTCTTTCCACATATTGACTTCATGTTTCTTTAGAGACTGGAAAAAGAGTATCAATGTCATGTCAGGAATAGAACTACTGAAAATAAATTTAATCCAGACAACTGGTACCATTGTAATAGACTGATAATGAAACGGTAGTATGATACTGAAAAAACCCTACAAACCAAGGTTTAGCTCTATTGTATGTTTTTTAATGACATATGTTTTTTAATGACAACTGGCCTTGGATGTGTTTGTCTGCAGTAAGTGGAGGACATCTTGTTCCCTTCTTCCTGGGAGGCGAGCACTGCGGTACAGCGTTCTGCAGCCATGTCCTAGTTCGCAAAGAGGTAACACTTACGTACTTGGTTTTAAAAAAGTTGTGTTGGAACTGGGAACTCTCTGTGTTAGAGGAGATGTATCTACCCTAACCTCAGTACAACATGTAACAGTGAAAGAGGGGCGGGTAGGCAAGTTCAGCCTGCCAAATGTACTGCAAATTCATCAGTGGCCAGAGCCCAGAGAGCTATGAACCACGGGCTGTACCGGGAACTGCTGCACTCGTGTTACACTACTCCTTATATGTACATAAGTTTAACATCTGAAAACTCAGGAGGGTTGAGGCTGTGCTTTTTTTCTGTAGCAGTTGCTGATCAGAGTTCAACAGCAGCTGGAGACTCCCGACTTCCCCTTATCATTCATTTGGGTTAACAGCACTTGCTACTCCATGCTTGACAAACTTCCAAACTCCGCAAAGCCAGGATGTCAGCTTCCCTTCCCTTCGCCAGTGTTGGCCGACTTGATGCTGTTCAGTTACGTTCACGCTACTCATAACTTAAACTTGAGTTAATACGTTACAATGCTAAAAAAACATAAGCTTGGATAAGGCAGAACTTAGGCTGTGATTACACAAACCATTTGGCAAGTTAGTAAATGGCAGCCTGAGATATCTTGTGTTTCAGTAGCTGCCAGTTGTCTCTTACTGATAACACTAAGTGGCACTTGACTGCAGCTTGAAGGTTCTATGTACATCTGGCTGAACAGGTGTGTTTTGTACAGTATAGAATCACACACAAAGCTCAGGAAATAAGATGCCCCGAAGGAGGAGCATGGCACCTCTTGTAAGAAGGAAGTGTACAAACAAGTTTATAATGGAGCTTGTTACAATTTTCCCTTTACGTGTGATGAACTTCATGAAACATTAGCTCCCGAGGTATGCTTGTTTCTGGGCCGTGGAGTTTGGATGCTCTTCTTTCAAATGCAGCTACCATCTGCTTTACCACTTCATCAAAAAATAATGTAGCGAGTTTTGAGTGTAGAAGTGAACGAAATTCAAAAGAAACCTGTTTAGGAAAACAGAGAAGAATTAGTTTTCCTGTATCTGCTGTTGTGGTAAAATGCTGTTACAAATAGACTCTCTAGTTAGTCTGCAAGTAAGCTGTGGGAGAAAGAACAGTTGAAACTGAACTACAGGTTGAGTGTGTCTGTGCAGAAAAGCCTTATTCCTTGGTCAGAGGACTGCCTCCCTCAGCTTTTCAATTAGAAGAATCCTTTCATTCAGTTCTCTGAAGTAATAATTTCCATTTATCTAAACAGTATTTTACTCAAATGATGCATCACAAAACATAAGTAAAAGATTGGGGAGAATGAAAAACTATTGACAAACAATAACTCCATTACTTTGCACACAGAATTCACTTGGGGGGGGGAAAAAAGTCTGAAGAAAATCCTGCGTGGCAAGACAGCAGACTTACAGGTAAGCTGGAGTAAACCCAAGATATTTAAAAGCAGCTCAAAATAGTTACCGATTAAATGCCAGCATCTTAAATCACTCTTGCCATCTCAGTAGGTGCATGGTACATTCAAATGAGCAATTTACTGACACGGGTTAAGTCCTCTGAACCATGCCCTCAGCCTCCTACTGCAGTGCTCAGAACTGAACTGCTACACTTTCTTTTAGCTGCTGAATCTTGCAGTTAAACTGAAGCTACTGCCGCAGTTAACAGTTTATGGCTGGGGTGCAGGGAGTTGGCTTTCTCTCTCCCCCCTCAAAAGAAAAGGTCATTTTTATGTCAAATAGCCTTCAACTTTGCTTTTGTGCTGTGTTGGCCTTCAGGCTAGTTAAGTAACATTCCCCTCGGGCTACGGAATGGCATTGTTTTGGAATACACAGCTTCCCAAAATGATTACAGATTTTCAGGAAAAGAAACGGGTTGCTTTTCTGCAATTTTATCATCACCCCTGCTATAGCATATCTTTTGGATTGAGATTTAAGTATTTTTGTCATTCCTGAGAAAGCAGCAGATGAAATGCCAAATGGAGCAAATACAGCTTCTGTCAAATTGCTTACGAGTAACGCATATTAGCTTCGAAACAGTAGCACAGATGTAATTAAACTACTTGGACTGTAAGCCAAATCTAGTTTCATTTACATTTGCTTGACCTCAAGCATCAGTAAAATTAATGTGCCTTTTGAAAGTCTGAGAGTAGTCATTTAGAGCATGTAGAGTTCAGCAGAGCAGGGATAATGAGTTTGGCATCATGTTCAGTAACTATGTAAAAACTTGAGGAATGGTATGCATTTACAGAGTTTACAGATGGTAAAAATGGTGTCGTGCCTCAACCTAGCTACCAAATCATTTAAGAGCTGAAACCAAACTAGAAAAATTCCCTGCTGTATGTACACGTCTCCTGGAATCAGGCTGGCAAAACAGGATACAGCAGCTTGTGGGAACCAGCATAACCCAAAACTCAAATTATATTTTCTAAAGTAAATGAGCATTCTTGAAAGTTTTCTCTTGAATATCGGTAATTGCACAGTATGTTTTGAGAAGTTTGTTGCGAAATGCTTATCATCCCTACCTGCAGGGGCCCAGAGGCAAGTAAGACATCACGTCAGTAACTAGCAAGGGTTAGAGTCCTTGAGGACTTGCCTTTGTGAGGCAGCCCCCTGCTCAGCTGGCAACATTTGCTTCTGCTACCTCAAAATGGGGTAAGCAGTAAGAAGTATCCATAGCGTTTCCCCAAGAAAGTGAAAATAGCCATTTTAAGTCCAGTTTTGACTCTCTTTAACTGAAGCTCTTAACCTCACAAACTCAGTATTTAGATTATAGGGTTTAAACACTTGCTTAATTCAAGTTTTCTCAACTGATTTATGGCTTGAGTTAAAGGCTAGCTTACATACTCGTTAGCAGCAGGAACTGGCACTTATTTGCCTGGAGAAATTCAAATACCATGAGCAAGTAACATGCAAGCATTGTTGGCAAATCCCATGAGAAATGTATTTTTTGAGTGCCTATAGATTCATTTTTACTGTTGAAGTGCAATACAGCAATAAGTTGAAAGTTATTAACCCAAGGAGCTTATTGTGCTAGTTTACAAATACTCCAGAAGCTCTTTTTCCTATTTACAGAAGATAACTTTTAAAGCAGAGTATCCCAGTAGATGGCAGCAGGATCAACACATTTCAGTGTACTTTTTTGTAGCTTGTTTTGAACCCCAGCTTAGTTACGTGCTCAATGCAACACCTACTCTCAATGCTACAAACTGTAAGAAAAAAAATGTGATGACAAACTACATAGACAAAATATAAAAGCAATAACCTGAGTGGAAATCTAGTGGAATCTAGGAGTAACAGGTTAAATCAGATACTGGATTTAAAGAACAATAGTTTTGAGCTGCAGCGATATCCCATCATAGAGTAGAAAGACAGCAAAAATCTATTATACATGTATTATAGAAGGAAGGAGTAAGACCTAAAATACATGGAAGAGTAAAATTGGAAGCCAGGAAATTATTTTGACCAAACTGCAGGCCAAACAGGACAGATAGGAGAATACCTGCTTTCTGGTACCAAGAGCACTTAGGCTGTAGAGTAATTAAAGGAAATAGCAAAGTATGTTACTTCTCCCTCTGTATTTGACTGTGTAAAACTTCAGCATGTTTAGGATTGGATGGTGAGAGATACCAATCCCTAGACTGCTTCATGATATGCAGACACCTCACAGAAGACTGCTGTCTCTACAGGACACTGTAGCGGTTTCCATGTGGTAAAGTTAGCAAAACATTTTTTGGATAATAGCGACTAAACCAAACTTATTTTCTGTGTGTATGTGTTAAAAAAAAAAAAAACAAACAAAACCAAAAACACCCCCCCCAAAAAAAAAAAACAAACAAAAGCACAGTTGAAGATACGGTTTTTATGCCCTGTTCCTAGCATGTGGTAGTCTTAGTTGCAATACTTACTGAAAAATCCAATGTACAAGTCCTTGGATAACCAGGGATACCTGGGCTGAAACGCCATACTGTTTCCAAGTGATTAAATAGTTTTCCATCTGTGCAGGATGCCTAAAATGAAGTTTAAAAAAGTCAAGCTACAATTAGGCTTTTACAAATGTGACAAATTGGTATTACTGAAGTTTGCATTTGTGTTTTGTTAGACAGTGAAGGTCACGGCATAGTTAGAATTATTCTTATAGTACACCCAGCATGAGATCCCATTTGCACAGTGTCATTTACAGCAAAATAACTGAATTTCTTTTAAGGGAGAGGAAAATTTTTTGTGTTGAGAGTCATAAAACCGATCTCTAGCATGATGCATAGAACACCAAAATAATGCTAATGCTATATACCAGAATTTTGAACAACACTGTTTGAAGCAAAGGATATGCATATTTTCAGGGTTTGTATTCTTTTTTCACTACATGTATAGAATATTTTATATACTGACATATAGATTGGTAGTCTTGAGCTACAGGAATACTTAGCATCAAAACAAACCTGATCGAAGACAAATTCCAAACATCTTCTGTCACAAGATACTATTGTGATCAAGAGCTACCGTGAAGTCAGTAAGACTATACACTCAAGTTCATAATCAGCTTATACGTTGGCTTTTAGTTACCAGCAAGGCATATTTAACTCATGTTTCAGGAGTACTTGCACAGAATCCTCCTTTAAAGCAATAAAGTATTTGCAGAAGTTGGCTTCATAGTTTTCGTGACAATAGGGCCCTTATTTTCACTCATTTTGCTTTGAGCACATAAAGCTAATTTTGTGTGGCTGTATTTATAATAGAAAAAGATTGAAAGAAATATACTTCAAAATCATCCAAATACATAATCTCAATTGGCTTGCGATTTCTAGAGAATTTCTATAACTGTTTTTTAACAAGTTCTTACTGTTACCACAAGCTGTTACCTCTGCTCCAACAAGACTACCCATGATGAATAAATGTTGCTTGTGGTTTGAAAGCCACGGTAAGGTAAGCCATCTCAAAGACTGACCAGCAGCACAAAATACCTACATTTTTCTGCCCAGGAATGAGATGCAGTGCCTTGCTACTTCTACAGAAAGGAGAGGAGTAAAGGGAAGATCAGACACGAAGAGCTGGGCTTGCTTTTCCTGCTGCTGCCAAAAGGGCAGGAAGAATGGGAAAATTGCCAGCGTGTCCCCCTTGCTCCCAACCTTATAAGTAGCAAACTCATTCCATGTTTTCCTGTGTGGCAAGAGCTGCTGCTACCAGTCCGATTTTTCCATTGCTCAAGCACTGCTGCCGTAAGCAACAAATCCGTGCTCGCTCTGTCGCCGGCTATACTAGACCACCATGCCAGCTGCCTTTGCCCAGAGTTATTCTGAGGACAGTGAAGTAGTCCAAACACAGTCGCTTCTCTAGAAATGTTCCTACGGTTATATGAACAAAATGTAAACTTCTAGGAAATATAATCCCAGCAGAGAAAACTCTAATAAGTCTCGGAGGAAGAAGAGTAAAGAAACAGTTCTCCTCACCACTTTCATGGTATTTTCTAAGACAAATCCTCTTTTGAGTGAATCACAGGGAAAAAGAGTTGGTAAGCCAATCTGATAGCTATGTGAAAGGAAAAAGCCAGTCTTGTCAGGGAAGAGTAGAAAGGGAGAGCAGTTAGCATGTAACATGCAGATTTTCCATTGTTCAAGTTTATTAAAGTGAGAAATACTTTTTCTTTCCAGAATCGAATCAGTAAGTACCTTGAATAAAGGCACTTTGCATATTCCCTTTCCGATTCATGTCTCCCCTGTACTTAAGAAACCCAGTTTCTGTTTTGTGCAGTATCTCTTAAGAGGAAGCCTAGAAAAGAATAATGAAATAGTATATCCAAACAATTATCTTCAACAGCTATCAACTGTTGTAGTTCTACTAGTTACTCCAAAAAATAGTCAAGATCTACCACATTAAGAGAGAGAGAGTTTTGCTGTAAGGAATCTGTTCTGAGCTGTTCCTAACCAGAACAGATTTGAATATATAAGGCAAACAAGTCAGAAGATCCAGACATCACTTGCAATTTCTCCCTTGATATTTTTAATTATTGGTTTTGAAAAGCTGAATGTAGAAGAAATACAACTGCTTCTTTTCTGTACAAATTAATTCTAAAAAATAGACTTTAAATCCACTCTCCTATCTTCTCATCAGTACACTGAATAACGAGTTCTTCAGCAGATCCTACACTTAAGTTTAAGACTTCTCATATTAGCTAGGTAAAATTGTCAGAAGAAAAGTAATGAATGACAGCTATCAATTTTGCTAAGGCATCAGAAGCTACAGTTGTCAATGATAACTTCTAAGTCAGTACTAATTTTGCATTTAGAGAGGCTTGGACAAAATTTTAAGAAAAACAAACAAAAATGGTGTATCTCCATTAATGGCTGCTAGCTTCTCCAGCAAAAGGAAATTAAAAAGCAATTCCTCCCGTCCGCATTTGGCAGCTTATGTTTTAAAAGCACATTCAAATTCTCTCCAGTTAACCTAAGTCTTTAAACAAAAGCAACACAACTTTTGAGCCACACAAAGAACTTCCAGCATCAATTTTGTTTTGAAGCACCAGTGAATTATTTGAATTTCAACAAAAAACAAGTTATGGAATGTTATAGCTAAGGAAAAAAAAAAAGTTACCTTAACTAAATGTGGTCTCACTAGGGTAACAACTGATGTATACCTCTCTACTACAGGAGGGAATCCTATTTCTAGCTGTGCTTTGCAGTATCCAGAGCGCTTCGATAATACATCTGACTTTTTACACCAAGGAACAAATAGTTTGTAATTCTCCACAACAGCAACAACTTCATACATTTCCTGCATAGAATACCTGGAAACAGAAACATGAACATTAGTTACAAGGTATTTTAACTTCAAACTCAGTATTAAGAAGTTTCAAAGATGGTATAAAATGGCAGTTTAGAAGGTGAACATACAGTCATCTGAAAACACTACCACTGTTTTTGGAAATTAAAAAGAGAAAAAAAAAGAAAGTAATAAACTGGTAAAAGTCTTTGCATAAAGATGCAAAACACCACACAACATCCAGCAGTTAGTGAACAGTGAACCAGGTGTCTGCTACTTTCTGCAGTATCAGGTAAATACACATACATTTCAAATAGAAAAATAGTTTTTCCAGCACAGTTGTGTCTTTCTTTAGGTAGACCTTAGACATTAGAATCCACACTTCATGGCTACCAAGAAAAGGTGTATCAAAACTATAAAGTACTATATTTCATAAGGTTTAGATAGAGGAACATTACTTGCCTTCTTTTAGCCCAAATAAAAAAGCTTTATTAAAAAATCCATGCAATGGAAAAACCTCACAGCATCACAGAATGGCTGAGGTTGGAAGGGACCTCTGGAGGTTATCTTGTTCAATGCCCCTGCTCAAGCAGGATACCGAAATCATGTGAAAGAATATGATGGCAACATTTTAGTAGATTCTACGGTAATATGGTACTACATAGCTATGGTTTTTAATTTTTAGTTCTGACTCAGAAAAGAATTGAAGCACATACTTAATTCTGTCCGTGTTTAAAATGAAGCATATGTTCAACAGTATTCAACAGTAAGTACTACTGGACAAAGGCTCTTTTTAAGTGACTATGCAAAATCTGTTGCAGTTCAAGAACTATCAAATAACTGAGTGTTAAGTATAGTCAAAAAAATTATGCTAATAAACAAATAGTTCATATTATTGTGGACCAGAGATTGGGGGCAGGTCCCGGTCTCATCAAATTAGCTGGAATATTCCAGTAGCTTTAAGGCAAACAAGATTTCAAAGTCTTTTTCTATGTGTCTGAGTTTCTTCATCACACAACTAATTGTTGTCTTTCTTTTAAAGAAAGAAGAAAATTTCGAGAAGTGAGAAGTACAACATAATGTAAGTGCAAACATTAGCACATACTTGGGAGAGAAGGGAACAAAATGAGCATTTTCACACCTCTTGGTTTATTCCCACTTCACCAGATGAAATGAATAGTTATTCTTCCCTTTCCAGGTTGGTTTTGTCATGGAATAGCAAGATTATTTCTGCTATTTCTTTCTATCGGGTAAGGGGTTTGGGTTCCTACATTTTTTATATTCAAATTCAGACTGGAAAAGCCTGATCTCTACAAATTCTGAAAGTCAAAACTCCTTTCTAGTCTCCAGTTGGGCAGAGTCACAGGGGCATGTGTCTTCAGGAATGCTCAGTCTTTGAACTTCTACGGTTTCAGATTAATCACAACAAACACAAAAGCGATAAGCATATAAAGTGTCTTTCCACACATCTATACAAACCCTATAATTCTTCTTTCTGAATATTCTTTTCTTTTATTTACTAGTGGTGCAGCAATGTTGAAGAAAGTTCTTGAAAAGGTATGGCTCATTACAGGTACTTGCAAAGGAGAAATTCTGGTCATCAGAATACCACAAGAAGCCAAGTGCCTGCAACAGTGAAAATGCTTTTAGATGTGTTTCATATCAGCAAAATAAATAACACCACATTCAGGTAAGACAAACAATCTGTTGTGTAACATTCCAGAAAATGTCAGATTCAGATGGAAAAACAAAGGCTCCTAACAGTATACGCACTGTTAAAAACACAAGGGGGATTTTTTTTACCCCTTAGGAGAAACTAAAAATAGCCCGCAGTCATGAGAAAAGTAATTGGCAGAGTAAAATACAAAGGCCCTGTTAAACACTGACATCATGGCAGCCTGAGTTCACGTATGAGCCTCATATGCACTTAATTTGCAGAACAGGCTTTCTTAATAGCAAAATCAAGGAAGAGATACAAAGCTGAACTCTGCTATAATCCCTCTGCTGCCATCCCTCTCTCAAAAGGACAGTTTCATTTTGAAATCCTCTCAGAAAGTGCACTGCTTACCTAACTGTCAAAATCTCCTTCAGAAAAAAATAATGCAAAACCTTGGACACAGTGTTTTCATAAACAGAACTTAACAAATTACCTTTAAAAATGCTAGTAACCCTAAGATTGCACCTCAGTGCTCTCTGTTTGTCAACATCTACACTAAAAATCTAACCAATATTCATTGTGATTAATAGGTCTGTTCTGCTAAATTATTCATTTTGCCTAGATCAAGTCAGTTAAGATGCAAAATGCTACCTCAAAAACTCTGATTTTTGGTACCAGGAAGTGTCCTGTCACTGATTCTACAAACATAAGCTAAAGAGCAACCTAGGACTTTTACTGTCCTTTCCCTAATTAAACAGAAAGGACTGTACTTCTGGATTCACATAGTCAAAAAGGGAACCAACATTCCCCACTTAGCATTAGGCTCATTTGGTTGTTTTGGTATTTTTTTAAACACGACAGATGCATTTTTTACTAACCAGCAAAGTAGTCCAGCAAATTAAAGTTACCAGTTTTAAACAATTAAAATTATTATTAATATGTTCTTTAAAAATCAATGTAACTTAGAATTTTAAAGAAACACACTAATAACCTGGGACTGACCACATTAGCTTATATGGTCACTATATCAGGAGACAGGCGAATAATAAATTGGTATTGAATTAGAGGAAAATAAGCAGCAGCAGCAGCTGATTAGAAACAATCTGTACAGACTGTTTAAAAAAGAAATAAGTAACTGTGATATGAAGCAAGATGACTGACAACACAGATTCTAATCACTGCAGTTGAAAAATAATTACTTAAGATGGGAGAGAAGTATGGTGTCAAAATTAAGAAAGAATAGGTCGACTTTAAAAGTCTTTAGACAGCAAACTGCAAATGTCCGCAACTGTTATCTCAAGGGATGTGGACATAGTCTGGTTTTTTTTTTTTCCCCCTCACAGACTGGACAAGACTGTTAAGGAAAAGCATTGCTTTGACAGAAATGCTGGATGGGTGCCAGGAACATTGTAGCTGCCTCAACCAGATTCATAGAAAGTGTTCAAACGTTTGGACTAGACCTCATTCTGGAGACCTAATTTAACTTACTTTCTCCATCTGGGGCTACATACAGTACACAGTCCAAACTAGTTGCCAGGTTTCTTCTCTCGGTTTGTTTTTTCCTGTAATGCTATGCCAGTGTATTGTTACATGCAGTTTTATCTAGACTTGTTTCAGCTGCAAGGCTGAAAAAAATCTCTACAAGCAATCTTTTAGCTGCTGTAAGACAATGTCCTTTTCACAATTATATTGCCAGTCAAGGAAGGCAAGGTTAAGACAAGTTATAATGCTAACAAACACAGTGAGACTTCATCTCTCTCCTGATTTTATCTGAAGGAAAACAGAAGCTATGAGAATGTGCTGGGCTCGGTCCCAGTTCAGGAAAGCACACCTCTTCAAGAAACCACAAAAGCATGGATTTCAGTGGACTGTCATAGATGTTTTTGTGAACCTGATCAAGGCCACAGAAGAAAAGCCAAGTCCATACCAGAAATAAAACACACCTACCACCTCTGTATTTACCCTCTGGCAGTAACACAACCATATCCACTCACACTGCTCTTAGTGGCATCATTCAACTCCTGCCACTCACTGCTTTCTCTCTAAATATTTGGGCACTGATCACAGTATCACCTGACTTCCATGACCTGAAAAGGAAGCATTTACTGGTGTATGGTATACATATGTATGTGATCTATATTCAGTGATTATTTTTAATAGCTACAAAATTTTCTAAGCCTAAAGACTAACATATTTTTGAAAAAAGGGATCTTGAACTCCTGACCATAAAGACTGAAATTAGCAGTAAAAGCATGCCAGGGCAATTGTGTTTACTGTTATCCCAACTGTTACTTCCATAAGGTTAGTAATATCGGATGGCCATTTCATGGTCTGCGAGATATGATCTCATTCAAATTCTTTGTCAACAGCTGTTCACATCCCAAAAAATGAGCATTGCCAACAAGCGTTCTCATTAGCATCTCAGTCAGAATAAGCACAAGAGACTAATTTACCACCCCAGTCCTTGAAGTCTGCTACTCAGCACAGTAAGGAGTCTGCCGAGTCCCCAACAGGTACAGAATATACACCAATGACAACTGCAAGACGTGAAAGCATACCCAGCTTCAAGGCTACAAATAATACTGCACCATTTTGGATTCAGCTTACACTTGCTTAAAACGAGCTGCCAAGATTCTTGCAGCTTATACTAGAAATATTTTCATACTTAGTTTGCAGCCAGTTACTTAACGAGTTTCCTTATACTGAATAGCCTTCCCAGTAATTGATTTTGCACTCAAGACTCTAACAAATTACTTTTTAAAAAGGCAATTTTTTTTTTACCAGGATTGAACTATTGCAAGCACACCCTAAAGATTAAAACATCAAGGATATACAGTAAGAAATGTGGTCCAAGTAAGATGACATTATATCACTGCACAGTAACAATTATGTCCAATGACTGTCTGAAATTTGATGTCATGAACCAATCTCTACTTTTTCACTGTTTTTATGAGGATGACAGTGAGAGTTTGAATTTAACAAACACAGCAGCACTGCTATAACAGTAGTAACAGGTGAACCTTTTTTCCTCCTAAGATTTTCAAATTGCACTCTCTCTTGTCTGGTTGTTCTTTTTCTTCCAGTTACAGGATCAATTTTTCTCCCAAAGCACATTTTATTTCGTAAGTTGTTCCAGCCAGCCTTACATGTGATCAGGGGATAAGGAACTTGTTGCATTATGTGAACTGGAAAACATCTGGGCGTTTTACTCAGTTTTTCATTTCTTTTATGGATTGCTCAAAGTTATGCAACTGGCTCAAGCAAAGAAGAGGCAACTCTATAATCTGAAAATCGTTTTTCTTCCATCGACACTGCCCACGTTCAAAGAAGCCAACCGCTACCGAAGCTGAGGGCACCTCAGCCGCCCCCGCGGAACGCAGAGCCGGAGGGGATCCGGGAGTACCTTCCCTCTCCCCTTCCCCAAAGCCCCCAGCTTCTCTCCGGGGCAGCGCCGGGGTCCCGCGGGCGGGCC